TCATTTTCAAAAAATCGTAATTTCTTCCTAACGCAATGTTTTTGCAAGAGTAAAACCTTAGAAAGAGCAATTCATGTACTTTCTAAAACTGAGTTGGCTGCTATTCATTAAGCTCTGAATGCAGAGATAAAATCAGAGCAAGAAATTCATTTCAATTTCGGAATTTTTAAGCAAACCCGTTAAAAAATCCAAAAGTGTGCTATAAAATCCAAAACAGCCACTATCCGAGACTACTTCATCCCCTCTTTCCAGCTGAGAAAAGTTCGCGTTGATCGAGCTGTTCTTCGGAAAGTTATGATTTTTTGAAAAAAATGTCAAAAAATCAATTTTCTTAAGAAACTGATTTTTCGGCATTTTTTCTTGAAAATCATAACTTCTTTCAAAAGAGCTCGATCAGCGCAAATTTTGCTCAGCTGGAAAGAGGGGATCAAAAAACCTAGGATACTGGCTGTTTCGGATTTTATGGCACACTTTTGGATTTTTTAAGGGGTTTGCTTAAAAATTCCGAAATTGAAATGAATTCCTTTCTCTGATTTTATCTCTGCATTCAGAGCTTAATGAATAGCAGCCAACTCAGTTTTAGAAAGTAAATGAATTGCTCTTTCTAATACGGTTTTACTCTTGCAAAAACATTGTGTTAGGAAGAAGTTACGATTTTTTGAAAATGAAGGGACAGAACTTTCGGACCAACCTAATATAAACTTTGCGAAGGGGTTAATATAAATGAGTTGAGCACAATCATGTCAGTGATTTAAACTCAGAAGTTTATAGGTGTAGTTTTCCTTAAATTTAATTGCCTCTTTTTGTGAAAATCTGCACCTTTGTAAGAGGTGTAATAATTTTAATGCTTTCGGAAAGCTTTAGCAGTTGCAAGATTTCAACATTTTTATTTAGCTCTATATTTCATTTGTTTGTCCTAGTAAAATGTTCCCAATTTTCGAAATAGAATAGTATTTTCCCTGCTTTTCGTTAAGCTTTTCGGTAATTTTCCATTTTTTGACGTTGACAGCTACCCTAAATTAGTTATTACTTCGCAGATCACAAAGAGTAGTCGCTTTTGGATTTTGCAGAATTTCTCATTGATCAATGCTCATTATGTTTCTTACTGAATTAATTATATTGGATGACTCTTTTGTGCCATACTCTCACTTCGGAATCAAAATTTATTTCTAACCATTGGATTACATTCAAAAAACCCACTTATGCTCGTTTTGGAGATAAAATGCGTAGATTATTGGCGTATACCTTCATTCTATGTAATCTTACTTTTTTGTGTAGAAAATTCTCAAAGATTATGCGCATACGAGAAAAGCCAAAAGCAGAAAAAAATGGTCTTTGACATCCTCGACCACTTGTAAAGCTATATATAGACCATTTCCTGAACATTTCTATTGTTATTTTTCCTACGATCTTCAAGATAGATTTTCTCCCTTATTTCCAGGACTAGAAGAAGCCTGAAACAAATATGTTATGTATGCAAGTACTATGCACTTTCGAGAGATTGGATTTCTCATTTTCCATGAACTGATTTATCCTCGCAACATTATTTATGTCCTAAGCAACTAGCTCTTTGCAAAATATTGTGAATCATCCAAACAAACATGTTCTAGGAATGTTTACAACCTTGGCTTTTTTCGTTAGTTCTCACGTTTTATGTCCATGTAAACTTTACAGCATACATAAATTTACTCCGAAAACGGTTTCACACCAAACTTTATAACATGTCTCAAATTTTTGAAAGAATAAAAATATATTTTTTCTTTTCGCGGGTAATATGCCCCCTAACTACAGTGTCTTGATTTTGAGGTTGCTGTAAGGTTTTAGCACCAGTGCTCCATAAATGGCAAGAATGAACATTTCAACGAAAAATTTCAACGTGGTCCTCAGCCACTATCAAAGGCGGGACTTTGAGGGGGGGGGGAGGGGGAAACATGTCATTCGAAAAATTTGTGCTTATGCTTTACAATTGTTTGTGGATAAAAATGTAATATTTTTTAGTAAAGGAAGACTCCCAAAAAAATTTTTTAACGAGGCTTTTTCGAGTTTTTAGGGAATTTAATTTTTTGATTTTTTTGAAAACTAGGAATAGGTCACCTGCACAATTTCATAGTTCATGCGGTCCACTTTTAGAAGGTTCGCGACCATTTCCCCCTCCCTCCCCCCACCACTAGTCCTTCTTTACAGTCCAATCCTTCTATATATAACATTCCAGTTCAACCGTTATAATAGGGCTCTCCTCTCTTGGATGCACAAATTCTGATATCCTTCTTGGTTTTGCAAATGGTAACCTAGGATTTTTACTTTTTTTGATGAAGGGTAGCCTTGTTATTCAGTCATGCGGTATGCTGAGCAGTTTTTTCTATACATTTTTTTGAGTATATATGTAGTCTAAAGAGTGCATGAGTTTGTGAACTTTTTATGCCGCAGTATTGGATTTTTTGAGCAAAAAAAAACTTCGCGCTTTATGCCAGTGATGTCATCATGTCACGTACAGATATATCGAATTTCAAAAAAGAGGGGGTTTTCAACCTAACTTCCTGCCATTTATTGTCCTAAATGTCCTATTCCTATTTTAATAGTAGGCAAAAAGCATAGTTAAAATTACGTGCACCTAACTTTCCCACTCATTTCTGTCTAAGGAGTTTTTTTTTTGTTTGTTTAGTAGTACGTCATACAGTCTCCTCGCTAGATAAACAATAAACAATAATTGGTACCACACCTGCCATGTATCCACCTATCAAAATCTCACAATAAGTATCGTCATGTCACTTGTTACTCAATAAGCGTATTGCACACCGTGCGCGCTACTTGACGACTTGTAAGACCAGAACCTGCTTATTTTCAGTATCTTATCCTTGTTCTAATGTCCCTTTTAGTGAATAGATATGTATTGGTTAGTAGTATACGTACAGTTTGTTACGCTAAAAATTGTTCTTGAGTACTAATAAGAATGTCGTTAGTTACCGCGCGGAGTGTGCAATCTCACATATAGCCACAAATGACGATACAGCTATAACTCTGGGAGATTTTTGCATATTGTGTGAATTTATATTTCGCGTTAACTTTACTCCAGGATAATTTGAATGTAAGAATATAATTAGTACAATTTTTTAAACTCATTCAGGTCATCCTTTAAGGCTTTCGCGAGCTTTGGGGGGCAGTATGGCTTTACTTTCTACCGTAATTTATTGACTGCTTACCGTCTGGGCTATTTCAAAGTCGAAAAACTCTACCACAGGAAGCAATAGCTTGGCCTACCAATGAAGGCCCAGTGCAGATCGTATGGAAGCGGGTTAGACTTCGTTTTTGCGGCGAAAACGCCAAGGGGATATTGTTTTTGTGGCAAAAAACGGCGACGTTTTTCTGGTCGACTTTTCGTTTTCTAAAGGATCTTCAAAGGTTTTTTATGTTTAGGGCTGAAATTCAAAGAGAATTTCGTAATTCGCGAAAGTCAAGGGGAACTTCGTTTTCAAGAGCCTAGAAATGAACTCATGCCGGGCCGTGCTCCAATCTGTCTGTGCTCCCTCCTCATCATTCCCTTTCGCCCACTCAATATTTAGTCTTGATCCCTAAAGTCAAGGTGCTTTGACGTAGATACGGCCTGGAAAAAGAACTCATTGAAGTTGTTAACAAGCACCGATGTTGACTTTCCTAAAAAAGTGAGAGGCTTAACACATACGCAAATAAACGGTCCTGCGCTGACCACTTTACTGAAGAGTTTCAGAGAGGAACTACTGAGCGTTATCCTGTAGACCATGTCATGTTTTCTCTCAATCAATTATCGATTAGTTACCAGTGATCAAACGTCTGAAATTTTTTGATCGTTCGCCTCGGCAAATAGCACTTTCGTATCTCGTCAGTTTGCTCACAATCATTTCGCCCACTCTACAGATCAGTCACTCAGCCTTTGCACGCTCAGTTTTCGGCTTCTTATCGGTTATCAGTAAGGACAGTCCAACTGGATTTCTTTCTTTTGTTCGTGATTTTGAAAGTTTGCAATTATCAATTCCGCAAGTGAACACATTTCAGTAACCGGCAAAGCATGGAGCGCGTATGAATCTTAGCAACTCACTAACTTTCTTCTGCAATATCGCCGTTGAAAGGGATCGATTTTGAAAATTGACATAAATCTGAAAATCTTTACGAACAAACTGCCTCTGTGCTAATTTGAAAAAATAGACAAACAAAAGTCAGCTGACAGTGTGCAACCTTGATTTATTGTAATGGGTTGGCCAAAAAGAAGTTCGTTTTGGCATCCAAGTCTTCATGAAAAAAAATTTTCTTGTTGTTTCCGATCCATAACTCTTTGTGGAGAAGTAGCTTGAAGCTTCCTCTGTTACCTATTAAGTACTCAGGATTTTCTATCGTCAGTAAAGACCGCTATGCCTCAACATGTCTAAATTTCCAGAAGCTTCATTTGACTTCCAAAAATTCGTTTTCATGCTGTGATGAACAACAGCTCAGTATTCAGATACAGAGAAGTTTCCTATTCTTGAATAACAATGAAAATTGTGATCTGCCACTTTCAAAATTTTTCATCAAAAAAACTAAATTTCCTCTATTTGTGCACTATGAGAAACTTTGAGTTGTCTCACTTTTTTGCAGATTTTATTCCTTGGAAGACAAGCTCTACTCAAACAGAATTCACACTCCAATTCCCACTGAGATGCTGTTTCCAGAGTCAAGCACTGGACAAAAGTTTGTCTGCAGCATTTGTAAGAGCCGCAAAAGAGACCCAATAATTATTAGCCAACTTAATAGCGAAATCTCCATGTCGTTAATATTGTCTTATGGAGAACGAAAATTATCGAAATTATGAGTTGAGGTCATAATTTATGATAAAGTTACTAATTTCATGCTACACCATTTTCGCATTTGAAATCAAATTTTCAACCTCATAGAAATCTTATTTTGCTAGCTTCAATGTGTATTAAGTTTTATTTCTGGATGCTGATTCTTCTCATACTCCCCCCCCCCCTCCCCTAACCACTTACTCAAAAATGGTTTATTTGATTTTTATAAACGAGGCTCACAAAGGTATCCGTAGAGCTATAAGATAAGATTTGATTTTTTTTAAATCTATAGAACTCATACGAGTGTAGCACAAATAAGCTTGAGAAATTTTCTTGGACAAGTTTGAAAGAAATCCCAGATTCTCTTCAGGTGTTTCGGCTTGCCTTGAAGCAACTTCTATTCTAAAAATACTTCTATTTCCTTCTTTTCTTTAACTTCTACTTCGTATCTTTACCAATTTTTTCGTAATTAATCGATCGTCGTAAGCCATCTCACAGACAGGGTTTTGAGTGGTACTCAACATGAGTTGATCAAAGGTTTTCTAAAACTACCTAGGAAGCGAAGTGCTGCAAAAATTTTCATTTATATGAGCAATTTTCGGTAAACCCTTGGCTCAGTTTTGAGCCTTACCCCCCCCCCCTCCTCCCTTCTTCCTCTACCGTTCTCCTCTGTATATGGCGTACGCCTTCTTTTCGCAAACATAAAAAATGATGGGCATAAAGTTCCGCGAAAATTTTATGCTTTCCGCCATAAAAGCAAGCCGTTTAGGAGAAGAATCGCTGCTCGTACTTTTTCATTCCTTAGCCTATTGCTGATTGTTACTCTTTTCCTCATTCACGGTAAAGATATATACACTGTAATAAATTATCCTTGCTATACCATAGTGCCAGAAAATTCTCATTCGGCGTGACTAGTTCCCATATGTCGAAGTTTTTCCCGAGCAGCGCTAATGCCACAACTCAGGCAATAAACATTGTTAGCAAAAACGAGGACTGTCAAAAACTGGTATGGTTACCTAATTATGGGTACCACCACATCAGCATAACGCACATTACTATTCCATTACTAGTGTTGATTTTTCTATCTGTCTTGCACACACGCATTACTGCTTTGGTACGAAATGAGGCAAACTCTTTCAAATGCTTAGTTCGCAGTTTTCTAAAGTAGCTTACATGAGCTATAGAATAATGACAACCTTCTGGTACATTCTGTTGCGAATGAGTGTGAAATTTTACTCTTTTTAAATAAAATTCAGACTAGCCCTGTGAGAAATTTTCCGGAGGAGTAGGAAAGCCATGCCCTTTATTTTACAATTTCGGTTATGTGCCATCCGAATTTTAGGAATCACCAGAAAAATGCTGTCGCGCCCTTTTAACCCCCCCCCCCCCTCCTCCCCTTTCCTCCTCCTAAGAACAAGAATTTTCTAGCCACTGTGTACCTCAGGATGCCAAGTTTGCTGGAATTCTTAAATTAACATGTTGCGGCGAATGTTTATGCACCGTACGCTTACCGTATCCAAGCAAAATTCGCTTTCGCTTTGAGGCCAGCTCCTCTTCTTTGGATCAAAGGACCCTTCAAAAAAGAGCGAATGCTCCCTAAATACATATTATACCTTCTATAATGTTTTGCCACACAGGTTTGCTGTAAGTTTTATTATTCAGCCTGACGTTTCGGCAATAATACCTTCCTCAGAGGCCTGAAAGATAGTCTCGCTCAGTATTTGCTCTTTATACGAAGCCTTCTTCCAATTGCTTCATTCGATTCGTTTTGAGCGGCCGGTGTTGAGCCCTCATACTATGGCAACTGGCCAATGTCAGCAACGCCGCTCACTAACGATCCATCCACTGATGACTTGCTGATAAATGACTAAACTGTCCCACTAATGGACAGCTTAAGTAGTCATGGGTATCTTATAACTGGCAGTACGATATGAAGACGGCATAAGATCGCTGGCGATAGAAAGCTGTTCACTCACCGTTCATCATTGGCTGACGCGAGAGAGTGAGACGCTTTCAGTGCCTTGCGAGCCGCAATTTTTCATCTTCATAGCCAAAATCGTGCACTTGACGTAAAAAATATTTACCATCGTGATCTGCTCTATGTTTGCCGAGTGGACTCATCGTACTCCCGTTTCTTACTGGCTAGATGTTCGTTAACGCGGATGTTGAGTAAACACCCTGTCTCCCTGATATAGGTTGCATGCATTCAGCTTTATATATAAGATAGCTGCTATATTATCAGATTATTCGCTAGAACATTTAAGTCGCTTATCAGCTTTTCAAGGGTTTTTATTGGAAGAAAAAGTATTTGACAAGGATGGATTATACTTTTTTATTTTTGTTTGCTCATTAGATGCTACTTCCTTTCCTACTTACTCTACGTCTTCGTAAAATTATTCGGTTGAGTTTTATTTCTTGCTCTCCAGTTTTCTACTACTTTTAACGTTCTTAATCTCTCCCTTGATTGTTTCTCCAGTTCCATTGGATCAGTCGTTAATTCATTCATTTCACCAAGTCGTTCGAACTCGTTCATTCATTCATTCCATATCATTCATGTCTCTTTACATACATTTATTTTCAAAATGTTCAAAATCGAATTTTTGCAACTTTTCGACCTAGTCATAAGCGTCGGTGATAGATTTCGCCCTCTCAGCTGCTATCTTTGCTAATCTCTTCCATTATTCAACAGCGTACCAAGCACTAACCTCGCCCTCAAGAGCTGAGGTCTTTTTTCGAGTTCGGCTATTCTGTCAGCTCTGTCTCAAATCTTCATTGAAAATTTATCTTTTGCTAGCTTTGTTAATTAGTTTCTGCGAATCTGTTACTCTATTTTCTTAATTCTCATTTTCGGTATAAAAATCTTTGAAAAACCTAATCATTACAGCAACTCAATTTTCTCCTCAAATTATCTGCGCCTATTTCCTTCTGTGCTTTATCGTCGATTTTTGGATACTGCTTATTAGTAATTTTTTTATAAGCTAACTTAGCCAATTCCAGAGCCGACCACTCTTAACGAGTACGGTAGCCTACCGTGCAAAAACGATTCGACAACTGCTTTATTCGCATTTGCTTTATCTTTGTTGCTACCAATTCAAGAATATCAAGCTAAGTGCAGGTAAATTTCAAGTCTCTTTTACACATTTTACAGCGACCGTCTCCTCCTAAAACTGCAGAAAATTCGCCTTTTTTGAAATCATTGCAAACCTTATCAATTATGGCCCCAAACCTTATGTCAACATTGATCCTAAACAGACGAAACCTTATCAGTCGCAGGATTTAGTGGGTGCTTGCGGCCTCGTCTCCATGACATTTCGTGACGCTGGCAATTTCCAAGGGCAGCTTAGATCTGTCAAGGTCTTCATTATTCGTACATCCATAGTCGATTACAAATTTTGTACAGATTTAATTTTAGAGGACGCGAGGTCTTCATAATCCGTGCATCCTAGTTGGTTACAATTTTTGTAAAGAAAATTTTTGAACCCTTTTTAGCGAAGCGTTGACATGTGATTTTTTTTCCTGCTTAACACAACTTTAGAATTTTCAGGAACGTAGGTGGGAAAACTTGAAATTTATGCGTTACCCCACCGACTTGGCGGCTGGAAGGCGTGGCTTCGTGACCTAATCAAGGCTAGGTAATGATCAGAGAGCATGGACACCGGAGAGACGCAGACTGCATAGCGGCACAAGCGCGGGCTTAATTAGGCCACAAAGCACCGCCTTCGAGCCGCCAAGCCAGTTGATTCAAAGGTTTCGTATCTAACGCTTGTACAATAGGAGAGGGGGGGGGGAGAAGTAGGCACTGAAAGTTTACCAGTTTTGTAATAATCGCGGTGTTTTTTTATGATAATTTTTCTCTAGGATTAAATAGTAAAATATAGCCAATTATAGTAAGATAAATCTATCATTCTGGAACTTCCTTTTACGCAACAAAGCGCAACCCTACGACGTCTCTCTCATTTGTCGGCAATAATGCAGAAGGTGAGAAGATCGTCATTGTGAATTTATCAAACCTCCTCCCCAACAAATTATTTACGCGCTTTATAATAAATCAAAGAGAATCAAACCATAAAAGACGTGAATCATGTCATCAAGAACAAAATGACTCAAGAAATGTATACAGTTAAACGAGCTTCATTAATTACTTCTTATCCGGTCAAGGATAGGATCGAAACGGATCTTCCTTTTATTTTGGTGTTTTCGTTTTAATCATTAGTTTTTTATATATATTATGAACCTTGTCCTTCTTTTGTTATCTTTCTATTCAAATATACATCACTTCGAGCGGTTTTTCTAAGTCGATAGGCTTCCAATTCATCAGTTCTACGGCGTTTTTCTATCCGATCATCCTAATAAACCTAACAATTTCTTTCTTGCTCGTATCGTTCATAATAACACTTATTATTTTTTGTTTAGAAATCAAGAAGAAACTTTAAGAACGAGAAATGGCAAACTCCGCCTATAACAGTCTTGAGTTCTCCGTATATATGCAGCTCTTTGACCGTAATATTTTGGACTTGTATTACGCTGCTGCATAATTTCTGTCCAACTTTTTCACCTTATGTTTGAACCAGCTGTTCTAAGAAGATTTCACTTCCAGTGTGATAATGTTTGTATCATCAAAACGTCTTTTCTTGCTCTTTCTAATACATATCAAAATTCGTTGAATTTCTCAGTCTAAAGCGATTGGAGGCCTAAGATCCCCAGGCTCTCATCTAAGAGATACATTTTTGCAAAAAAAAATCTCTGCAATGCGCCCTTCTGTCTAGTCCTTTCATTGGGTGCGGAATAAGGGTGTAACAGGCATAGTATATGCACAAGCTCAGTTACATGAAGAAAGCGTTAGTAAAATTTGCTGTCGAACATTAATTTTCTGTATAAATGTGTTCTGCAAGCAAAAACCTTCTGCGAAGGAAAGGCTCCATGAATCCAAAGTTGGAGATGCTAGAGTAAAGCAAGAGCTAGCACGGCCCATTCACCAACTCCTTTTCACCGCTCGCGTCAAAAGTAAGCTTTTTATAATTCGTAAATGGGCATGCACACATGTACTGAAGCAAAGTAGAAAATGGCTCATTTTTTGTTCGGTCAAAAAATCTCTCGGTACACAAGTTTCTATGGGCTTTCTCAGGTCGCTAATCTACGAAAGTTTCTCTATCTATCCATGGTTGACTAAAGGCCTGGCTGTTTTCAAAAAGGAACAATTGTCAAAAAAAAACAGGTTTGAAGAAAAATGCCTGAAGTTTTAGTTTTTGTTTTTTCAATCGCAAATCTTAATGATTTTTTGATATCCAAAAAACAGTTCAACACACGGAAACTAAGATCATGGAAAAATATTGACTTTGAATGAAGTTATGACATTTTGAATTCAGAAATCCAGTTCATGCAGCAGCGTATGTGGTACATGCTGTATTTTCTAAGAAAAATTCAACTTTAAAAATTCAAAAATTCAACGAAACAACGAATAAATCAGAACAAAGAAATCAGCAATTTTAGCTAAACCACATATCGAGGTAACAAATCATCACAGACAATCTTTTCTTCAAAAATTGATAGAATTTTTCAGGAACCTTTTCTTTATGGAGGTTTGGCATTCCGCAGCCTCCCATAAAACATTAAATTTCAGGCTGGAAGCTTGTATTGCTGATTTTGGAGAAAAAGAACTCAAGACAATCTCAGTTTTTACAATATTTGTTAAATAATTCTATTTATTTACAGTCGCAATTACTTTTACTTTTCTTCAACTGGTGTGGCATATACCTTGAAAACTTGCGTCTAGTTCTTCGCAAGCATTGCCTATTTTTAAATGAGTAAATTTTCATTTTTGGCTCTTTGCCAAATTGCTGATCTCCGTCTTATACCGGACTACCGCCTCATTCGCCATTGCTTCGCTCTATGCGCAAGAAACTGTGCAAATATATGTTCTTTCACACCCGTCTTCTGCCATGTTTGTTCATCGCTCCACTTTGTGTGTATAACACTCACTCATGAATAATATCAAGCGGAAGCTCGTCGAAGTGCAATTTCTATTTTCTCATTTACTCAGCCATTGATTCATCATTTTTCTGCATAAATAACACTTCTGGTTTTTTTTGCTCACCACTTCAAATCTATGGTGTTGATTTAATTATACAAACTCGTTCCTTACTAACTCGACCTTTCCGTCGCGCCCACCTTTACCAAATATTCATAATTTTATTCTTTATTTTCCTGGGAACACAACTATACTGGACTATACTAGTCCTGTCGACCACATAGCACGCAAACTTCCAAATTCTAAAATTCTCAATCTGCTTGCAAGCAATAGAATCGCATTCAAATAGCAATTTTTCCGTACTAGCACATGACATAGGACCAATTTTGCCTTGAAAAAAATGAATAGTGTCCTTTCATGCACTAAACACGAAATTGAATGTGAACGTTTTGAGTTTTCACTAGGCAACACATAATTTGAGAAAACGCATTGAAAACATTGCTTGTCTAGAAAATTTGCAATTTTGCATGCATTTGTTTAGAACTTTCGCTTTCCTACTTCAGTAGATGTAATTTGGTGCTTTGATATGTTCAAATTCATGTAATTCAGAAGGTAATTTTCAGATTTGCGTTCAGGTTGACGTTCTAGAAGGTCTGAATTTTGAAAAAAACACGTTCAAATAACTGTAATTTGCGCAGAAACTGCTCTTCTTTGAGTAATTGCGAGTCAAGAACATCTTACGTACTGAAAATTATACTACGCAATTACAGATAATTTATGGACATTCTGATTTGACATCTTTCAAGTTTGTTGCCATTATAGAAATCTCGAGTCTCATATAGTTGTCGATATTTCTGACAGAATTGCTCAGAATTTCACTTCAAGGCCTCAAATAATTATCAAAATTTGCTCAAGATCCTCAAGTCTTCGATACTTGTATTCAAATCTTGCAATTTACTCAAGATTTTCTTGTAAAAGTTTCGGAAAAACCTATGCAAAGTGTTATATCTTCATTCATCGAAAGAAAAATTGCAGGATTGTCGCGAACTTTTAAAAAAAGAAAAAATTGTGAATTTTTTCCCACGTACAAGTTAGAGTACATGATTCTAGAATAACGGGCTTACTTTCCTGAGCGGACCTAATAAAAAATTCCAAAGAGTTACAAAATAATCATGTTGTTTTTTGGCAATTTTTCTTCTCCTTGGATAGGAAACGAATGCCATCGTAAATCTCAGAAAATCATAAATATTGTGTTTCTCTTATGATTTATTCAATGCGACATGCTCGATTCGCAGAAATTTTATGTCTGCAAATTCTGAAATAAAGTATTTCCAGTGCTTTTGGAGTCCTATTTGCGCAACTCATTAAGATCAACAACGTAGGGAACGATTCTTTTTCAAGACGTAGGATTTTCCATTTAGAGTTGAGTTTTCCGTAGATTTTTCTCATTCTTGAATTTTTGCAAGTCTTCTTGCAAATTTTCACTTTTTCTGTCTAAAATTAGCTTTGGAGCAATCCCTTTCAGGCGCATAAATCGGCCTATTACATTTTAACAATTTATTCTAAGTGATTCATAAAAAATCTTTTTCGGAAGGGGAAGGGAAGGGCAGAGGGGATAAAAAAAAACGTAGAAAATTTCGCTAGTGAAATGCGCGGTTTCAGCTATGTGCTCATTTTTGGGTGCATTCTAGCAGCGGCAGCCCGAGTTTTGTTGTAGAGGGGGGGGGGAGGGTCAGATTTTTGCGAATGAAAAGGCGTGGCCTCACACACGCCCTCCAGAAAAATTTTGGCGCTTCTTTTTGAACTTTTTGAAGGTCTTTAAATTCAAAATATTACCGAAAAAAAGCATGGAGGGAACCATAATTCCGATCAGATTTTTTACTAAGTTATTTAGAAATAATTTACGAGTAAAAGCAAGTCACTTGCGCAATTTTAGATTTAATGAAGTTTCGGACTCCTCCCCCTCGAATTTTTCTTCTGGGCGTGTCATTCGAAGCTTAGCTTGAAAGACTGTTTATTCAATGTTAAATTTTCATCCTTACACATATAACTAGAGAATAATTTGCTGCAACTTTCAATGTCAATAGAACTAATTGAGAGGATTGGTTTCCTTTAAAATCAACCGCTAATAAAAACTGAAGATTTTGTTCGCGCCACGCCCCTTTTGGACCCAGCATTTTAGATATTCTGCAAGCAAATCCTGAGGCCGCGTTCCAAACCCATTATTGATAAGTTTTGCATATTTTCTTAAAATTCATCATTTTATAGGGGAACAGGTGCAAACAGCAGAAGGAAGTTTTTTTTTTTCACAAAAGACGTGTCAAAAATAAAAACGTAAACAGTGACAATGTGAGTCCACTGGCCTATTTTTAAGAAAACTAGATTTCAGTCCACATGATGATAAGTATCAAGTAAATAGACCAGCCAACACTCTCACTTTCAATTTCAGGGGCAATGCTAACGTCAGAGCTGAATCACTTTCTGTTAATCCTTACCGCCATTGTCACCTGTATAGCCTTGGTATTAGTGCTATACATTTACTGCCATTATAAATGCGGTTTTTGTCGTCGAAAACAAAAACACTCATCAACACTGCCAGAAGTACGAATAACAATGCATAATGATGCAAAGTGAGTTAATTGAAAGCTCAAAATTTAAAACTATAGCCGGCAATCCCGATTTTTCAGGAGACCATTATCGGTGGATTCGCCGGATATTGATTTTATCGATTCACGAAATACAAATTTGGTCTCATCGACCGTACGAGTCTCATCAGTGCACAATACACCACATCAACTCTAAGTACCTTCATCGATCCTTCATAAATCGCCTTTATGTACAGCTTGCAATAATTTTGTAATAAATCATATCATTGCCAAAATGTGTATTATTTTTACACTACCTTCCATGTTGTAAATGGATAGAAAGAAAGGATAAAGACGCCAAACTTCCACCACTTTTGGAAAGGTCTGTCAGAAGCTCTTTCACCGTTCGACAGACGGGACACGATTTAGTGAATTGAAACGATTGGAAAATTGAATCAAGTTATCTGTTGAGCGGCATCCCTGCGGTGGAAATACGAACACCTTAACTAGGCACCGTCTCCGCGGACTACTGATCCTAACACAGTAGGACGAAAGAACCAGCAGCCCGCGGAGGTGCCTAATTGAGGTGTTCCTCTATCGGCACCTCTGCTCTGAACTGTACATGATGAAATCACGCAACGTTGGTCAAGGTCATAAGCTTTCCATATCATCCACTTAGAGTTCACATACCAGTTTTTAGCACTTCGCAGTATTCTATTTCAAAGTATTGTAAGTAAACATCACTAAGGCACTCGCCATAATTGATCCTCTTGATCCGCTTAATGCACTTGATCCGCTTGATCCGCTTCGTGCAAAACGCGCGCACTCAGCATTCTGTCATTTGGCGTCGCGTACAGCGAATTTGCTTAACCATACGAGATTCCTTTTTACCTATGCGGCGCCAAATAACAGACTAACTCACTTCATTTGCGGTCGTACTTTTGACCGTGGAGCGCGGCAAGCTCCCCGAACACTAACCTCTGGTGACCACTAACAGACATTATCACAATCTCATGTTTGAGGTTCATTGATGTTTCTTCCAAGCTATTATTTAATCACATAGAAAATGTTGCTGTTCTTCAGAATTATTGTTGCCCTATAGCTTGCCACATTTATATCCTACAATTGATAAGAGCTGCAGACAGATAAGTTACAGTTCGAAGTGGACTACAATCAGTTCTTGTTGGATTTGAGCACAAAACTTCCAGTCGGACCAAGATGCAAGGTCTACCTGTACAAAGACATGTCGTGCATCCCAGAATTGTTCCCATAGGGATACTATCAACGTGCCTTTTGATCGTTGTAATATGTCGAGTTCGAATAAGCGCCTTAATTGCTAGAGTTAACATGTCAAAAGAACTGAAAGGCAAACGCGTTAATGGTATCTACCTATGGGAACAATTCTGGGAAATGCACCATGTGTCTGTCTGCAGGGTTAAATCAACAAAGACGGTCACAAAGGAAATTGAACTAACGTACACAGCAACAGAGAAGTACGATAACGGTAGCTCTTCTTTTCTTGGTATCTTACATGTTACAGTTCAAGATTTTTCATGGTCCTTTCTTAATTTACATTCGGCTGTCAGTCCATGCGTTTTCCCTGATCATTCAGTCTCAATACCAGTTCTTTTTGGTCATTCACATAGATCTTCTTCGAATTATATATTTGAGACATACTCAGACAAACCCGACATAGTATAATCTGAGGGTAAAACTCATCCTTTTTGCATATGTCCAATCATATTATGTACCTCCTAATTCGTAGTTATGCAAGCCAGATTCATTTATTCCACGAACAAATATCTAACCACAAAACCCCCAGAAGGTAGTATTTGCGATGAAGCCAATAATTCTGCAATTTTCTTTGCCTCTTAGGAAATCGGCTCCGAATCAGAAGTCACACCGCGCGCGGCGGCTTCTCGCCGCACCATTTGTGCCTCACAAAAAGGTGCTAAAGTGACACAGCACTGCAGTAGGGGTTAGGAGGGGGGGGGGGGAGGGGAGGTGGCGGCAATACATGACATCACTGCCGTAAGTAACATTGCGGCAGGAGTACTGACGGGAGCTGAAGCCTGTACTGTTTGACATCGCGTTGCGGCGTCACTTTGCAAAAAATCGTGAGTCCTAAACCATACTCTAGGAAATCTTCTCATAAAACTAAAAATAATGGAATCTGGAAACAGACTATGAACAGCAACACTAATCGTAGGCATCCAATTCAGTATTTTGATACTTAGAATCTTCTACAGCCTTCGCCATCTTGGCAGTCTTGGGTTTGAATAGTGAACAAACTTCAAGAAAGGACAAGGGAGGAAATATTATGACAATGGGAGAGAGTAGTAGGGTAATCACAGGCTGAATCACAAATAGGAACTTCAAATCCGGGGAGCTTATCGCGCTCTACGGCCAAAAACGTGACCGAAAGCAAAGTGAGCCAAAGTAGACAGATGGTTGTGTACCTCGAATACGTCAAGTTGAAGACCCTCATAATCTCTATATCTAACATGTTGTTCTGCTGGTAAGGAGCAGAATTATTCGTTCAAACTCGTCTGCAAATGATGAATACGCGCGATTACAACGGTGATATAGTCGGCAAAAACTCCACGAAAATGTCTTAGGTGAGAATAAGGTGCGTGGAATTTTCTCCTAAGGCAAGTTGAGTGGCAAAAACGAGGAGAATTTGGCAACATTGTGACTAACACTCTTTCAATCTCTGAACAAGGGCATCCTGCTGAAACGTCAGCAAGTAAAGTAGTATCACCGCTAACACCACCTCTGAACACTACACGGTCAACAACTCAGAAAGTAGCTACATCAATCCTCTTTACTTATAAGTACATATAACACTTCAGATAAGTTTGCAAAGTTTCCGCCATACAGTAAGGGTTTACAAAGTGGGTGGCATTTGGCACCAACAGACCTTAGTGAAACAACTTTTATTACACCTTCCTTGCAAACACTGGAAAGATCTGGAACAATTTTTATGTTCTGGTCAAAAATAAGCATTGGATTTCTCACATTGAATTTGTGAGCAAATAAAATTTGACAAATAAAATAAATAAAATTTTCACGTTCGACTATTTCTGGATCTTGGCATAGTGTCAATTACGATATATGATGTTAAGCTTTCCAAGACTGATAGTTCCTTCCTTTATTGTCAGTAACAGCTAACAATCAGTACGGTCTACGTTTCGGCGAAGATCGCCTTCTTCAAGACCTGGAAGCGAGTCAACGTGTGCAGTAATTCACTCCAAGGGTAGACATACCTTTAACAATACTGTGTAGGGTACGCCCACCACTCTGACACGTGTCAGACCACTACTCGCCGTTTAGTGTGATGGAATGAATTGTATTTGTAGGAAAGGGACGAGTTCATTGCTGACGGCAACCCTTTCTCCTTTCCTGTTTAGTTTAGGACATCTGCATGATATCCAACAAGCTTCTATGGCTTTTCGCGCGGCAATATTCGTTTCTTTGGAAAGAACAGATATGCTGGTGTCAAACGCGATGTCCTGGTGGGAAAGTTTTCGATGTGCGCCTAAAGGCGTGGACACTCGCGATTTTCGCATTCCATTCAAATGTTCGTTTATTCTTAGGCACAGCGGTCTTCCTGTTTCTCCAATATATTCTTCACCACACATTTTACAAGTTATAAGATACTTATAAGATACACAGTACCTCGGCACATGCAATCTCCCGGTTTATTGGAATTGCATACAATGCAGCCCGCCTACACACACGCTTGATCATGACTTCTATTGCGCACTAAGAGCTGTTTTGGGTTCGGAGGCGGGAATTCGACAAGTCTTAGCGAATTTTGCGAGCCGGATTTATATATGCAACTCCTGATCGCAGCGCTTAACTTATCAGATATAAAGGGCATAAAGAATGGCACTCGATCGTTGTTATGGCTGACATCGTTGAAAACTTTGAAACAAACAACTACACCAGATATGCGGGTTTCCAAATGGTGATAAGCGGATAGAGCAAATTGAGCTACAACTTCTTAGAATCGCTTTGAACAAAGAAAGATTACATGTATACTTTACTTAAGAAATGTGTAGCTAAAGAGTTGTATTGTGAACAGAGTGGTGAGTGAGTCTAAGAGCATTTGCGAATCAATTCGCTCCAATGCCACAGCTCTTAGTGCGCAATAGAAGTCATGATCAAGCGTGTGTGAAGGCGGACTGCATTGTATGCAATTCCAATAAACCAGGAGATTGCATGTGCCGAGGTACTGTGTATTTTATAACTTGTAAAATGTGTGGTAAAGAATATATTGGAGAAACAGGAAGACCGCTGTGCCTAAGAATAAACGAACATTTGGATGGAATGCGTCGCGAGTGTCCACGCCTTTAGGCGCACATCGAAAACTTTCCCACCAGGACATTGCGATTGACATCAGCATATCTGTTCCTTCCAAAGAAACGAATGTTGCCGCGCGAAAAGCCATAGAGGCTTGTTGGATATCATGCAGATGTCCTAAACTAAACAGGAAAGGAGAAAGGGTTGCCGTCAGCAATGAACTCGCCCCTTTCCTACAAATGTGTGGATTCGAGTTTGACCATACAAGGAAAGTTCATTCCATCACACTAAACGGCGAGTAGTGGTCTGACACGTTGTCAGAGTGGTGGGCGTACCCTACACAGTATTGTTGAAAGTATGTCTACCCTTGGAGTGAATTACTGCTCACGTTGACTCGCTTCCAGGTCTTGAAGAAGGCGATCTTCGCCGAAACGTAGACCGTACTGATTGTTAGCTGTTACTGACAATAAAGGAAGGAACTATCAATCTTGGAAAGCTTAACATCATATATCGTAATTGACACTATGCCAAGATTCAGAAATAGTCGAACGTGGAATATCAAGCGTTATATAACAGCGAAATATTTTCGACTAGTGAAGGAAGTATTGTCAATGAGACAGAACATCGTTTTCACGAGGCAGACCACTCAGTTTCTCCATCGCTGTCTGGACAATCATGTAATTCCTAATTTCATTGGAAACAAACAACTACACCAGATATGCGGGTTTTCAAAGGGTGATAAGCGGATAGAACAAATTGAGCTACAACTTCTTAGAATCGCTTTGAAGACAAAGAAAGATTACATGTATACTTTACTTAAAAAATGTGTAGCTAAAGAGTTGTATTGTGAACGATTTCTGCCTGAGAACCTTTGGAAAAGAGTGGTGAGTGAGTCTAAGAGCATTTGCGAATCAATTCGCTCCAATGCCAAATCACGCTTACAACGAAAATTCGACAGGTTGTTAGAAAGTAGACAATCATCTAAA